ACACTAATAAAAATATAAAAAAAATATTACAAAATATAAATGAACCAAAATACCCCTAAAAATTTATAAGGGTATTTTGGTTAATTTATATTTTGTGAATTATTTTTTTCATATTTTTATTAGGTGGGCCTCACTAAGATGTATGCATATTCCAAATTTCAGATAATTCTGATTAGTAAAAAAAAATAAAAATTGAAACACTACCAGACAAACTGTGACCGTGCGATGAAGTTAAATGGTGATGAGAGAAAACAAAATCATTGTTCATTTCGCCCCATAAACATTTTATAGTATCTTCCATATATATATATATACTCACAAATTACCTCTTTCCCATTTATTAAAATTGGAATATGCCCTAAACCTCTGTCTCTCTAATTTTTTGAGTAAATAGCAAAATCTCTCAAAGACAACTCTAGATTACTAAGGTATCCGTTCTTTGTTAAAAATATAATATGAAGCAAAATACCCCTCTCTCTCTCCTCACAAATTACCTCTTTCCCGTCTACTAAATTTGGAATTGAAAAATGGTTTGATAAGGCTGCAATCATGTCAAAGTAAGTAAACCTTAAGAGATGGCTCTATGCAAATCACACCCTTCGGATTTGTGTTATTTTGTAGATTGAAAACCATTAAAGAAGACATTAATTTCCTTGCCCTAAAGGGGTATTTCAAATCCACAACAAACAGTACATGTTCAAAGAACAGAAAATTGAAATAATATCAATCATTATTTATTGATATTTTTTCTATTGTTTCTAATTTCGGGCCTAGATTATGCTGAAGTGGACATTAGTTATTCAGCAATGGAGAATTGCGTATTAATAGAAGCAAAAGTGTCTGTTGACTCATGCATCCCCCTTGGTTTTGGGATTTAGGATTCAAAATGTATCCATAAGTACAGTTAATCTGTTTTTAGCTCGAGGTCCCTAATTTTGAAACTCTAAAATAGTGCAGATCTCATGATCTTTCGAGAATTAAAATAAAGTCTAAAAAATTTGCAAAATAGACAATTCAGAAACCTCGATATTCATTTTCCTATCGTATTTAATCGAAATAATAGGCCTATAAAAATTGGATTCAAAATCTATATCCAAAATGGATTTCAGGAGGGTAAATTCCCTGTAAAAGGTGAATCCCAAACCCTACCAAACCCATGACAGCATATATAAACTGCTGGTGTGGGGATTAAAATGGGTATAAAAGGAAAATGAGAATATCAGCAGTTTTTCTCAAATTTTAGAGGACTCAAAGTGTCCACATATTAGAAAGGTTTGCTTTTGCCCACTCTCAAGGCCACTTTTACCCTAATTAGCTAGTTTGCTTTTTGTCCATTCTCAAGTTTAGTTTTACATCAAAAGACTAATCCTCCACTAGGAGCAAAATCTACACTTAATGCCTTAGGCAAAAACTTACCTAGAACAAAGTTTTTGACCCCAAATTGTGGGGAAGTCATCAACATACTCTAGTCACTAACTACAACAACAAATAAACCAAAAGTCGGAATCTCACTTGGAGGAAAAATCTACTCCTCAAATTATTGATCTGGTGATTCTTAAGTGGATCCAAAAATTTCAGTTCTAATAAATTCCTCAAAGTAAGTTTTTTGCGTAAGGGAGTAAGTTTACATTATGCACGCACATGTATATGTTGTGTGTGCCCTTCTCTTAAACGAGATTAACTCCCATACAGTTTATTATTTGGCTAAGTTACTCGGGGAGGTTTTGTGCGATCCATGTGTTGCATTTATAAAAGGTTAGCACTGCTAGATTGACGATGTGCATCGCGTGGCTGCAGAAGGAAATAAAGATCATAAAGATAACATGAATTGGGCTTGGATTAAGACAGTAGCAGCTGGGTTTACATAGCGCTACATCTCGAGATCCATTCCTATGTAACCTTGTCAAAAAAAAGAAAGAAGATTATAAAGATATCAATACCACTGGCAACGTGTTTAGGACCTGAAACACCTCTTAAACCACTAGAAATCTATTTTTGCCTCGTATCTATGAATTTGAATTCCAAATATAATATCAATTGGTAAGTGGAATGATGTTTTCATGGCCAAGGAGAATCTTCCATTCCATTAATCTAATTTGTTTTTTCTCTCTTTTTTGTGAAGATTTAGAAACAGAGATAACATAAAAAAAACAATTTTCTCCATCTCATACTATCTTTTATAAGTTATATTATGAAACCTCATGACTTCAAACAAGACCCTTTCAAATGTCCCCCATGACTTTAACCTTCCTCAATTCTTTCACCACTTCTCTCATATTCATTCTCTCTTTAGAATTTTCTTTGGCACACATCAAGCCAATTCTAATCAATGAAACCAAGCTTTGCTCCCATTTTCTTTTCTTTGACATGGTCCTGCCATCTCCTGTGCTTTTTCTGCCACCCACCTCTTCCACTAGTCTTGAGTCAATAATCTCCATTATTTGATCAGGAAATTTGAGACTAACAAAGTTGGGTAGGTTCAAACCATCAGTAAACATGTTGTCTGTTGGTCTCTTCCCTGTGAAAATTTCAAGTAACAAAATTCCATAACTGTAAACATCTCCAGCTGTTGATACCTCTCCCCCTAGTCCATACTCTGCATTCATTATAGTCCACAGGTTAGCATTGGAAAACACCTATACACCGCACGGAGATGCATACATATATGGATAAATATACAGTTTTATCTGCTAAAGTGCATAGCAAAAGAGTCCTTTCGGTGAAATTTCGCAAAACAAAAATATCTTTGGATCGATAGATGAACATAAAAAGAAAGAAATCGATTTTGTGTCCTTGAAGGCAAAGAACCACCCTCCATCAGATGGATGGACTGCGTTCACTGAAAATGGTGGAATCATTTTGGATCCTTTTTTTGTGCAATTCATTTTTTTTTTTTGTTGCTTGAGCGAAATAAACATATGTTCAAAATTTGGGTTTCCAACAACTCCTTTTGGCTCTAACAAGCATATATTGGCTTAAACATGTTATTGTGTCTGTTAACCATTATCATGTACTTATGCCAGCTACATGAGTATGGAATATGGTACACCATAGGCCTTCCGGCATCCATTCCAGAAGAATAGATGCTGGAGACCAACCATAGCTCATGGCAGTTTTTGCTTAAGTACGACTAATCTCGAACATCAATTACCGCATAAACAAACTTTGGATGTTCTCATGGCGTGTTATGTATCAATCACCACTGGTGCATTGTAGTTCTTTTACTAGGTGGTATATACTTTCCAAGGAAAAGTGTACTACAATCCTCATGATCATTGGAGATCAATAGTAATGATGATCATCACCATTCAATCATAGGTTCTGAAGAGCGGGACCCACCATTTTGAATCATGTTATCTTTTGTGGTTCCTAGTCTATCTACGTCACCGCCCACGCATTGATGGACGGTAATCACCCTTATGACTATCGGGAATCCATAGTCATGAGGATTATATATAGTTTATTGCCATTTTTTAAATAAGTACCTGGAGGGATGTAACCAACTGATCCTTTAAGCCCAAGAGTGCTGGTCCGTAGATCTGGAGCAGGTAAGAATCTTGATAGTCCAAAATCTGCAACATGTGCATTCATGGAATCATCCAAGAGCACATTGCTTGGCTTCAAATCACAGTGGATTATCGGGTTTTGGCAATCATTGTGCAGATAATCCATGGCTGAAGCCACGTCCATCACTATGTTGAGCCTCTGATTAAGGCTCAAGCTCTGGTTCAAAATGTTCTCTTGAATCCTCTCTCTACAACCCATGAACGAATTGGATGCGTTCCTTTGAATTCTCTCTTTAGAACTCATTGGAGAGGGATCAGAAATGCACTTATAATTCATCTCACTGATAACCATTAACTGATTTGAGGTGTGCTCATGAATTCTCTCACTGGAATTCACTGAGGGATTGCAGGTTCGAATTCCCTCACTAGAACTCATTGAGTTGTTGCAGCTCATCAATTGACTTCTCTCACTAGAACCCTCGAATGGGTGGAGCCAATTTTCGAGGCTCCCGTTCGACATCAATTCAAACACGAGAGCTTTGAACTCATTGCTTCTGAAATCGATGCTCGAGCACGAGGTGATTATCTTCACCAGGTTCCTGTGCCTGACATTTCTCAGAGTTTCACACTCCACAATAAAGCTCTTGAAAGCTCCATGCCTCCGTAAATTTAGGACCTTGACTGCAACTTTTAGTCCATCATTTAGGATCCCCTCATATACTGAACCAAAATTGCCGATACCCATTAATCTCGATTCACTGAAAGCATCAGTTGCAGTGTAGAGCTCTTCATATGAGATCTTTCTCTGATAGTCCTCCTCCATTAAATCTGGCTCTGAGGAAACCTTGCTCGATTCCTTTCTCACGAACAAATAAACCGTCACAAATATGATAACTGCAACAACTGGAGAGCAAATAATGAGGATCGATTCAGTGAGGCCTACCCTTTTCTCATCATTTTTAGGGGCTCTTGACCCTGAGCATAGAGGCAAGTTCTCTCTCTCTCTAACAACACAGAGCCTGGAATTTCCTAAGAATGATGTTGAATTAAGATTCTTGAAAGACCCACCTTCCGGAATTTCTCCTTCGAGATTGTTGTAAGAGAGATTCAAGCTACGAAGGAACTGAAGCTCTTGCAGAGGCTCTGGGATTCTCCCTGATAGATGGTTCGAAGAGAGATCGAGCTCAGTTAAACCAGTCAATTTTGTCATAGAATCAGGAATCGGGCCTTCAAATGAGTTCCCATGCAAATCCAGAGATTGCAGGCCTACACAATTTCCAATTGTATCGGGAATTCGGCCCGATATCCGATTTCTCGAGAGATCGATAGCTTGAACCATGTTAAGATTCCCAAATTGCAGAGGCAAGATTCCACTTAGAGAATTTGAAGATAAGTTTAAGGCTTCTGCCAGGCTAGAGAGACTGAAAATTTCTTCTGGGATGGTTCCATTGAGCTCATTTGCAGAGAGGCTAAGGATCATGATATTTCGGTATCTTCCGAGATTCTTTGGAATTCTTCCTGATAGCCTATTGTTACTCAAATCAAGCTTGGTTAAGCCAGTGATCTCCCCAATTGAACATGGGATTTCTCCTGAAAATTGGTTCTTATTCAAAAACAATATCTGCAAATTCTTTAGACTACCAATACTAGTTGGAATAGTTCCAGATAATAGATTTGAGCTTAAATCGAGAGATTTGAGATTTATGAGCTTGTCTAAGTCAGTTGGAAGAGAACCTGATATATGGTTATCTCCCATAAGAAACTGTGAGAGTTGGGTAGAGAGAGAAGAAACAGAACCAGGCAAAATACCAGTCAACCTATTCGAAAACACCGATAATATCTCTAGTTTGGTGCAATTAGAGAGAGAATCAATAAAGCTCAAGCCTTTTTCCTCTGAACTAGAGAACCCATTTCTCTCTAGATTCAAACGAGTAAGATTCGGCCAATTCCCGAACATTAATGGCAGAGGCCCAACAAGATTGTTAGCTGATAAGTCCAGGACCCTGAAACCAGTAGCATTTGTCAAAGAAACTGGAAAAACCCCATGAAATCGGTTCCCACCAAAGAGAAGCTCTTGTAGATTGGGGAGCTTGAAGCCCATGTCATGAGGCAAGCTCCCCTGAATCTTATTGTTAGTGAGCGAAAAGTAGAGGAGAGATGATATATTGTAGAGAGAAGGAGGAACGGTTCCTGTAAGATTATTTCCACAGAGCTGTAACTTCCATAGCTTCTTGAGCTTGCCCAAGCTCTCTGGTATGGTTCCATAGAACCTGTTTCTAGAAAGAGAGAGGAATGTGAGAGAAGTGAGGTTGCCTAATGAAGGTGGGATGTTTCCTGTTAACCTGTTATTATAAATGCTTAAGAATTCAAGGTCTTTTAACTGATCAAATTCACTTGGAAAGCTTCCTCTAAATTGGTTTTCATGGAGATTCAATACTCTGAGCTTAGAACACTTGGTAATACTGGCTGGAATATTTCCACTGAGTGAATTGAAACTAAGGTTCAGTGTTTGCAATTCAAATAGAGAACCAATCTCTAGAGGGAGAGAACCTTGAAGGTTGTTTTCTTGAAGAAAGAGAGTCTCAAGAGAAGAGAGGTTACCTATTTGTGGTGTAATGGTGCCTTGCAAGCTCAAGTCATGGAGGTCTAGAGCTCGAACTCTCTGTGTAATGGGGTCACATAGAACTCCTTTCCAGTTGCAGAGAGAGATGGTGTGGTTCCATGAGTCCAAAGCTCTGTTGGGGTCTTGGGTTATGTGGGTTTTGAAGGAGAAAAGAGCTTGTTGGTCTGTTGAGTTTAGAGAGAGAGAGGGTGTGGAATGTGAAATGGTGAAGGTGAAGAGGTTTATGAGGAGGAGAGAGAACACAAGCATGGCTGATGCCTGGTTCATGGTAAAAAATTGAAAGAAGGCCATGAGATTGCAACTGATAGCATATTTGAACTATATATTATACGTTGGTATGTTGGTGTAGAGAGAGAGGGATGTTTTTTAGAGAGAGAAAGAGGGGGGTGATTTTTTAGAGAGAGAAAGAGGGGTGTGCTTTTTTAGAGAGAGAAAGGGACGTATGAGACGCAACCGCCTACTCACATGGCTTTGAAATAGACCGTTGAATATTCAGGGTTAGGTAGGCGCTTTCTTCTTTAATTTCGGCATAAAAATCCACAAAATATATCCTCATCACTGGCAAGAATGACCAAACACCATCTATAGAGAGAGTTTTTTGAAGCGTTATAGAGAGAGAGAAAGAGTTGCAACAAGGATAACTGGCCACAAAACAAAGAATGATTTTAGTGTTTTAGAGAGAGTGGAACTGGGATGATTGGCCACAATGCAAAGACTGGTTTTGGAGAGAAAATGGACATGTTTACCATAAAATGTTAGCAACTGGTCTAACAGGAAGAATCATCCTTGTATTTATTTTAGAGAGAGAGAACCATGGTAAAAAAGAGTCCATTTGAAACACCAATTTTCCAAAAATATTCAATTTATTCAAAAAAATGTTTCAAAAAGACAATCTTTCAAATACGTTCAAATGCATTTCATCAACTTCATCATCATCCGCCTTGTTTATTTTCTTACTACTTCTATCGAAAAATTTTGAAGCTTTTTTTTTACCTTTTTGGCACCTTCCACGTAAACTAAATCACACTTCTTATAAATTGTTGTATAATGCCTGCAATGCAAATGGTCAAGCCATACAGATCTACTTTCTCTTATCTTATCCCTTATTCAAGTTATTCATATATTCGATCTCCATGTTAGATATTACATGTCATTAAAAATTAAATATTAAAATCTATCTAAAAAATCGATTTATTAAGAGGCCCCAATTTCTACATATGCAGGCTTGGCCGCATAAAAACCGGATCCTTTAATTATTAATATAAGTACTTTTTTTCATATTCATAATCTTATATATTCTCTAAAAATTAGCATCAAATTATATTTTAAAAATGCATTCATTGCTAAGCCCACATTTCTGATTGTATAGAAACCGTATCCTTTATGAATTGCTAGAGTTGTAACATGATTATTTGTCAAGAAAGCAAATATGATTTTCGAGAGAGAAAATATGTATGTTTCTCATAAAAGCAATAAGGAAAGCTTTCTATGTTCTCCTTACAGCATAGAAGTTCTATCATCCAGCCGTTCATTTTTTATCAAGAGTGCCACTCACCATTTGATCTTAGATCCGACATCTCAAAGTATTATATTTTTAGTTTTTTTCACACAATTTTTCTAAATATGAAATTTAGTACGTGCCATTTTTTCATTGGGACACACCTATAAAAAATATCAACAATAATGTTTTTATAAAAACTAATGACCAAAATACCTCTTGAATCTTTCAAGGGCATTTTGGTTATTTCATTCTACTGAAAATATTTTTTTTATATTTTTCGCTAGTGTGAGTTTAATGGAAGAATGGATGTCTAAAATTTGGTGTCAAAATAGTTTATAAAAAAAATTAAAAATAAAATAGTGTAGAGACATGACATTGTGATTGAGTCAATCTTAGCCCTCTATTAAAAAATAGACGGTTAGATAAGGGGAGAATGGAACTTATATGTTGTAGAAAAAACATAGAAAACTTTACCAAAACAATATACTAATAGAGAGAGTTATCCTCATTTTTCAAAGTTCTAAAGAATTATTTGTATATTTTTCAAAATTCAAGTATGCTATCGTCATTTTTCAAAGTTCTAAAGAATCGTGCGTATAATTTTTCAAAGTTCAAGTATGCACGAAAGATTTGGGGAGAGCAGGTTAGGTGAATTGAAGAGTGAGAAAGCATTGCATCATGCCTATGCGATTGCGATTGCGATTGCAGTGAAAAATAGAGAAGAGAGGAAGCATTGCATCATCTCTTAGAAAAACGCTTCTCATTTTCTCAATCGAAGTAGTGCTTGAAAAATCGGATGGATTGGGTGACCCGTCTGTTGAAAATCTGGTCCAGATAGGCGAACCAGAACTGTAGATTGACGAAATAGACAGGTGTTTTTGTGCGAGAATCTGTCCCAAAAAAATTAAATTATGGGTAATTTTTAAAATAAAAAACAAAAAATCCGTAGAAACCGGACCATTTAAATTTCCAGGTTCCCATACAAACTGGTTTGGCTCTTTGATGCACCCCGGTGAATCCACCTTATTCGCGGTCCGGATTGGCAATTCCCAATTTAGAGCCAAGGACTCTAGACGCTTGTATATCTTCACCGTCCATTCAAAGCTCTGATGGCCCATATAAGGCCATACACCCAAGGGAATTGCCATCAGCATGAGCTCACATCTCACATGCAACGGTTCAGATTCATGTCTCTCTCTTTTCTTAGGCCGGTTTAGATCAGGGCCGTCCGTTCAAATATTGAGATGCTATGTGTAGATAATTAGAAGATTTGAAATGACTCAGTCTTGTGTCCCTTTGTAGAGGTCCCTTCCTTCTTGGAAAGGGGTTGTTGTGGTCTTAAAAAGGAGGCACTGCTTGCATGGATGCGTTTACACCGTAGTCAACTTAACGTGTACTTCACCGAGTCATTTTTCACAAGAGTAAAACAAGTAAGGTGGTAACGGGTCAAGTACGGGTCGGCCTATTAGTATTTCGCTCTTGGTTTGGACCTGGACTTGAACCTTTATATCTGAAATTTAGACCCATACCCTGACCGGTTGGGTCTTTGGTCTACCCTTCACGTTTTGGGTCTAGTCAGGTTTATTGCCATCCTATGACTATGAGCTTCTTCTTTTTTATTAACTTTATTTTATTATCATATATCTATATTATTGACAACATTTGCCGTATTGCACAATATTTATGAATGCCACATATACCCACATTATTTTTATTGTTTTACGTAATAATTGGAAACAAAACAAATGTAGTGGCAACATTTATGAATACCCATATAATAAATATGCCCATTTTATTCAGGTAGGGTCCAGTTGGAGCTAGACACAAACCCGAATAGTGTTGGGTCCAAGTTTTGGACCTGACCTGACCTTTCGGGTCAAGAATTTGGATCCATACTCGAACTCGAGGTTAGATCTACCCATCGGGTACTGGGTCTGGTCAGCTCCATTGCCTACCCTAAATACAAGGACCTGACAACCGGGCCACCACAGCCTTAGGGCATGGCAGGGCTAGGCCTGAGTCAGGCCCACAACAGAGCCAACCCGGTTCAACTTGGCTGGCCTATTTTTTTTACTTATTATTTTTCTCTTGAGTTTTTTTTTTTTGCATTATACATGACCCTTGGTCTAGATATTGACATGGCTAGGGTAGAGCCATAGCTAGGGGCTCCTTAGCTCAGTCAAGGCCCAACAAAGCCAAAGCCGCCCTTGTAGAGACTAGGGCCAACACTAGCCCGGCCCAAGCCCATTGCCAGCCTTACATGTTAAGGCATCAGCTATTTATAGATTTATCATTTTACAACTTTTCCAACTCATGATCAGGTGCAACAGTTATGTGGCAAATTGGTTTCTACCCTTGATTTTAACAGTTCAAAAAACTCATGATCAGGTGTATTTTGATAAAACTTTTGAAATTAAATTAATAATGACAAAAGGTTTATAGTTCGTGTTGTCATAAATGTTCGAATAATAGATATTTGAAATATTTGCCTCCCATCTTTTTTCCTTTATGTTATCTCTTTTTCTTTTCTTTTTTTTTCTGTTTTTCCGGTTTTGTTCCTGTTTTTCCATTTACTTAGTCAAATACTGAATTTCTAGTACAATGGTAGGGATTTCATTTTATAAAGGTGGTAATTGCTATATAAAATATTGGCATTTAATTAAGGGGAAAGTGGAGTAAAAACATTAAACAGAAGGAAAATAACTAAATGGAAAAGAAGATGATAAGGGATTGTTTCAAATTTACCACGAGATTTACGTGCATTTCATGTATAGGTGCAATAAGATATAAAATAATAATAAAATATTCAAACAACAAAAGAGACTAACAATACCTTTTATTTAAAATATGCATTAACAATATCTTTTACTTAAAATATGCATTACTATTTATACTTCCCTGGAAATTAGGCCATCAAGCACACAAGAAAGAACAAGAAAAATAAATAGAAAATAACATTTGAAAAAGAAAACTGGTCATAAAGGAATTTATATTAATGAAACCTTTATTAAAGAGGGATGGAGAAGGATGTTCTCCAACGTTCTGTTTCGTCTTGAAATCTTTGAGAAAACTTAACCATGTAATCTTGGGAAGTGGGTAGTTACTTTCTAGCCGTTAGATAACGACACTTTCTTTCTCTAAGAAGCCTCCATCTTTTAGTGATAAGCATTAAATTATAAGAGAGAAAAATATTGCGCGTTTAAAAGCCCCATGGCCACACACACGTACCAACATTACTTGCATAGTATAAGGTTGACACCTTATATAATTTTTTTTCAGTTAATAACGTATATACTTTAATTTTATCAATAATTTTGAGGTGCACCTTACTTATACTTTCTATAAACTTTTTCCCTTTTATTAATAAGTTTAGTATGAGAAATAAAATTAATGTTGGTAACCATGGGGCTCATTTTGCTACTCCTATTCTCATGGAAAAATGTCATGAGTAAGTTATTACATGCATATCCTTTTATAAAATTTATTCTTAATATAATATGAGTAATGATCCTATGAGACTCTCCCACATCTATGTGTGTAGGATCTCAAAGGATCACCATTAAATTCAAATCTCTAGAAAAGTTATCATATGGGTGTGGGACTTGATTTTTTTAGAGATCTGTACCAAATTTAATGGTGATCATTTGGGGTTCTACACACATAGGTACACGCATAGATATAGGAGGTTCTCACAAGGTCATTTCCCATATAAATATTATATACAATTCATTATTTTCTAAATAGTTGTTTATTTCATGGTGGCGTCCCTATTCTTATAG